CATGTAATTTCTCGTCGTCTTGTTCAGCGAGTTTTGCAACAAGTAGATCTTGCATTTCTCTTTCTCTTTCAAACTGGGACTTCATGAGAGTAACTGCTGGAAGCGCGGTAGATATGACAATAGGTTCTCGTCCCGGAATTGTCGGCATGCATGAAATAGTGCGGCCGCCAATTGTTCCTCGTTTCTGTTGCGGTAGATATCATCCATAGCCTGTAACAGACCTAGCGTATCCCATTCCATGCTGTTTGCAAGGATACTCTGAAACTGACCTGTAATCATATCTTTCGCTGTTCCAGTCACTGCATGACTAAATAATTGCACTGAAAAGTCAGACGGTTGAAGATTATTCCGCTCCTCTACATCGCGCCTGTATATGTATCGAAGTATCCCGTGTGTAATTTCCCACTTAGTTCTATCCTTGTGGTTGTATGCTTCTGGCCATTTAAGTGGTTCCTCTTCTATGAAACATTCCCTGCGTTCTGATTGGCCTCCCACATTAGCTCTTGACTGCTGCAGGGGAGTTTTTTTCTTATTCTCCAATCGTTCCTGCATCGTTTTCATCATTTCGTTCATCTGAGATCGTAGAATCCCAAGGTCTCTTCTATGTTCCATTCCTCTTAATCTCATTTTTTCGACCAGTCGCTGCATTTCCGATTGTATTTCTCCATGTGGCATAGATTCATGATTCGATAAACCAGTTGCCATAGAGTCCGTTCTGATGTTAAAATTGTTCATATTTGAACCCATTGTTGATTCTTCGAATCCCTGTGCGTTGAAACCAAAAGTTAAAGATGCCCTAAGTCACAGTTATCTAAGGCTGCAATATACTTAATGACGGGCAAAGAATGTGATAGATATAGTTTAAATTGTGACAGAAACCAAGTTGGTTGTGAATAAATCGATTTATTAAACTGTATGAGGAGAAAAGAGAACTCTAGCTACAACTAACAGGTATTTATAAGAATTGGTCCCCTTTGTCAATCTCCAGACTGATGACTTATCCTTAGGCACAATACTTGCTACCCAGCCACGCATTGCCAGGTGTTACTTAGTTGTAGTAACACTTCGACCTCCTGACTAGTAGTGCCGCTTAGTTGTAAATATTCCCAACAATCCGCTTAGGTATTCACCTAAGCTCTAATAGCGGTCAAACCGTAACAACCACGTTCTTCTTTATTACCTTTCTAGAGAGCCCTCCGCGTTCCCACGAGGCGTCCATCCTCAGTACATTGTACGCTATGCAATCCCTTACGCCTCAAGTCTAACGCAAAATGAACCTGCGCCTGACAAGTATGATATCACAGGAAGTATGACATCACGAAAATCATGATATTAAGGAAAGTATGATTGGTAGTTGGATGGAATTAGGTATATAAGAGAGCTAAGCATTAGGATATTCAGACCTTACCTAGTGTCTTCTGAAAATAAAGACACTTCTACTTGTAAACCTCATCTCTTCTTTGGAAGACCATTGCATCACATTACTTCCTGTGGCTATTCTACTACTCACAGTGAAGCTTCGCCTCAGATATTGTCATTTTATCTCTCATCCACTGACTATCTCATTTTGTACCCTGTAGAAATATTACCATATCAAACTTCTTGAGATTAACATAGGGCAATCAACATTAGATCAAGAGAGAATCATACCACTCTTCAACTACTACTATTGACTGTGAAACTATCCAGTAGCTATTCCAATAAATACAAACAATTGTTGGAGTTTGTATCAAATGTTGTTAAATGATAAGGTGTGTCTAGTTGGTGCAGGAGCGAGCCGAGCCAGTCATAGTCAAACTCATAGGTTGCATCAATTACGCTATTTATGCAAGTCAGTCCTGTTGTAATGGAAGTTGTATAGAGAAGCTTAAGCTGTTAGGCTTGTATTTAATATCACCTAGTGAAGCGAGTTGGGAGATTGAAGAGTCTGAAAACCATAGTGGAGAGTTATTGATTAAACCCACTTAGTATCAGAGCGCTATTTAAACTAATTACTACAGCTAAGCGAAGGACATAATTCACTAGCTTATGCTAGATAATTGGGAGGCTGGTCAACGTATGAGTCATCATGAATGTGGCTAGTAATAATAGAACCTTATTACGCTCCGTATTAGTGCGACTCTTCATTGCCAAGTAGTGCCAATTTCAACAGTAAGGAGGGACTTCAAATCTTGCCTCTCCTTGAATACCTTGCTTATCTGTGTCTCAGCTGTAGGATACAATGATCAGTGTTGGTACAATACGGTATACCCGCGTAAATAAAAGGCAATAAATAGATTCAATAAAACGATACAATAATATTCACATATATTCATTCTATCTATCTGTTCTAACCCTTTGGTATCATGTAAGAATGCCAGGGGAATATTACGTAAGTAGCACTACTATTACAATTGGTTAACACATATTCTGCTTATTAATGTGCACATGACTTCTGTTCCAATACTTTTTTTGCATCAGATTTTAATTGCGTATGCAGGTATCTAGCTTTGACACAATATCAAAGAAAAGTAAAAAATAGATGATTCAATGCAAGGGAAGAGCCCTTATGCCTCGGATTTTATTCGCAAGTACCACAGCAAAGTTATGGTGGCTTTTTCGTCAAACAAAGTCAACCCTCATCCGTGAATACCCACTCAGGGGGACGTCTCAAAAACCCTGAGTTATCCAGACATGCCTCTGTCATTCATTATCTTTCATCTGCGCTAGATGTGATCTTAGATGTCTCCTTCCCAAGTAGAGTAGGTGCCCAGGCTACTCAGACTATACCGGGGAACACAACCAGGAGTCGGACCACGGCACCTTCCATCGTCTGCTTGTTTCTATAGTGTCAGCTGCACTCTCGCTAGCGAAGTTTTGGCGCGCACAAAGTTCAATTCTTAGAACTCTTACCAAAATTTGGAATTTTATGACTGTCGAGATTATCTCCTTCTCTCGCATCATTTTATGGACTTGTCCTGATACCTCTCACGTCCATCCCAGAGAACTGTCTTCCAGATTTGTACGCTACGCTTTGCTTCCTCTGTCGGGTGTTAATGTAGGTGTGGGCGTGGGCGTGGATTTGATGGTCAACTGAGGCCAGAGAAGGTCGACGAAAGGTGTGGTCATTGGGATGAGGATGTGCTTGGTCGCAATTGTAGACTTGATGAGACTTAGGTGGGAGTCAAGCTAGTTGGGAGCGAAAAAAGGATGTTATGGAGTAATATGAATTTTTGCCTCGTGGGCCAACTTCTTTGATATTGCAAAATTTGAATGAACTTGGCTCCAGGAGAATATTTCACTCCATGTTTTGTAGAGGACACTGCGTACAGTTTTTCAGCCTTGCCCTCCAGCTTTAGCAATTAATTCAATGAGCCAAGCTATGCCAAAAGATATTTGACTAAAATAATTTTTAATTTCACCAGCAGAGGTGGGTTATTTTCCGTGGGTGGAGAAGCAGGCTTGCTTAATGTATCCCATCTCCTATATATCGTAAGAATACTGTTGATATCCAGGGTGTGTGATATTTGTTGCAGTGTCTGGGTTACTGTAGATATTTCTTATGATGCTCCACTACAGCTCAACAGCCAGACGCCACAAGTGTCACGGACTAGGACGAAGACGTGGAAGAAGACGAGATATTCAGATTAATAATTAGATTCTAAAATTTGAGTAATTTACTAGACAAAAAGCCACTGTATAAATCTAGCCCTAGAGCTTCCTTAAGTACACGAGCATCAATACTATAACCAAGGGTGTAGTAGTCCACAGTCATAGCATAGCAACCAACTAGTACTCCGAATGGCAACTGTTGCTATCACAACACTGTAACCATTACAATTCCAAAATTATGTTATTGTATGTATTATGAATGCAAGATTATGGGAAGTGGAATAGTTACCGGTAAATAACTGCACGTTCACTGAGACTTGAAGATAGAGGTAGATTGTAATGAATTAGCAGACTTGCTTGCTTTCATTCAAGTTTAGAGAATCACTACTTTTATATACATATACCACATTCTATGGCTTTCCATATCCCCAGTCGCTCAGTTCCATTTAGCTCTGAGTCATCACATTCTATTCCATCACATTCTATTCCATCCTGTTCTATTCTATCTGACTCTGGTCTGTTCTGTTTTCACCATTAGATTCTACATCTCTGTGATCCACAATAACCAGATGCGGGGGTGGTTATGTCGTCAATCACAACACCTGGGCACCTACTCCACTTGGGAAGGAGACGCCTAAGACCACATTTCGCGCGGAGAAAACTTAAAAGATGATGGAGGCATGTCTGGATAACTCAGGGTTTTTGAGATGTTCCCCTGGGTGGGTATTCACGGACGAGGGTTGACTTTGGGTGAAGAAAAAGCCGCCATAACTTTGCAGTGGTACTTGCAAATGAAATCCGAGGCATGAGTGCTCTTCCTTTACGTTGAACCATCTACTCTGTACTTTTCTTTGATATTGTGTCATAGTTAGATAGCTGCATACGCAATTAAAATCTGATGCAAAAAAAAAAAAAAAAAAGGACTAAGCGAATCCTGAGTCGAGCCATTATTATTAATTCATTTTATTGTCCCTTTTGAGTCCATGGATCAGCATTACACATGGGCCGCCCACAGTGAACAGCAGGAGTTGAACACTAGATCCCGTAACAGGAAACCTCTTAGGCACGGCTTGGCTCATTTACCCCATAGGCAAAGCTTGTCGTGGAATGGGGCTCGCACATTGCAGCGTGAATTAATTCCCAACGTAATAATCGGTTTGCTAAAAGTAGATTTCCTCCAATATATATAATCTCACAGTCCTTGTTGGCACAGCCTGCGTCACAGAGTGATTCAACCAACACCCTTTTTGCTTCGCCCAGGGAAACGTTGGCGCCGAATACTATCAACACATCTCCATCGACAATACCTGGAAATCTTGTCGTTAGTTATCCATTGATACTCTCCAGTAACATCGAGCGGCCTCCTGTTTGCAGTCCAAAGTCCAGTTCGGTGAGAAGATTCTGTCCAAATGAAGTTTCTCAGCGCCGTGTTCCCGGCCGCATGGGCTGGTATTTTACTGCTAGTGCCAGCCGTTTATGCAGATCCACACTTTGATTGCGGTGACTTTATCGGTTTTACACTCAGTGAACTTACAAGTCGTAAAGGATATGATGGATTTGTGACGGCGGAGCCTGGTGAACCTAAAGGTCCCAATGGGGAAGAATACTTGTCACACCGATACCGCGCGATGAGAAGCATTATATTTAGTTTTCTCCTCCTTTGACATTGCTATTACTAAACGTACTTCTCCGTGTTCAGACACTACTTCCTACTTGGCTCAACCAATCAATGAATATCCCTATTTCCGAGCCTTTCATAGAACTACCGAAGTTCAGGAGCCATTTAAATTCATAGAAAACTAATTACAGGCAGCACATCGGCCTAGCGATTTGGGTCAAGGTATGACATAGTAATAGAGCCTTGTGGGTAACTCCTGCATAATAATATGTAAATAAGGATTCATTTCTAGAAAATCACCTGCTCATAATGTTTTCTACTCTTCCAGGACAAGCCGACCTTTCTTTTTTTTATGCATCAGATTTTAATTGCGTATGCAGCTATCTAACTATGACACAATATCAAAGAAAAGTACAGAGTAGATGGTTCAACGTAAAGGAAGAGCACTCATGCCTCAGATTTCATTTGCAAGTACCACTGCGAAGTTATGGTGACTTTTTCTTCACCCAAAGTCAACCCTCGTCCGTGAATACTCACCCAGGGGAACATCTCAAAACCTCTAACTTATTCAGACATGCCTCCATCATCCATCAACTTTTCTCCGCGCGAAATGTAATCTGAAATGTCTCCTTCCCAAGTGGAGTAGGTGCCCAGGCTACTCAAACTATACCGGAGAACACCACCAGGAGGCGGATCGTAACACCTTCCATCGTCGACTTGTTTTTATAGTGTCAGCTGCACTCTCGCAAGCGAAGTCTTGGCACGCACAAAGCTCAATTCGTAAAACTCTTGCCAAAATTCGAAATTTCACGCCCGTCGAGATTATATCCATCCTCTGCATCATCTTATCAACTTGTCTTGATCTCTCTCACGTCCATCCCAAAGAGCTATCTACCAGATTTGTGCTCCACGCTTTGCTTCCTCCGTCGGGTATAAAAATCGGCGTGGGCGTGTATTTGGTGGCCGGCTGAGGCCAGAGAAAGTGGACGATAGGTGTGGTCATTGAGACGAGGATGTACTAGGTCGTACTTGTAGACTTGATGAAGCTTAGTTGAGAATCGGACTCTTTAGGAGCGAAAATTTGACGTGATAGAGTTGTTTGAATCATTACCTCGTAGGCCAACTTGTTCGGTATTGCGAAGTTTGACTGTACTTGGCTCTGGGAGAATATTTCACTCTCAGGTTGGTAGAGAGCACCGCGTACAGGTGTTCAGTCTTGCCCTCCGATTCGCTTAGTCACAAACCTATAAAAAATCTTTCGTTTCCAATTGCTCTTACTACGCATTTTAGTTCTGTTGTGATACGCTGATGATGGCAAGCAAGAACTCAAGGTTGAAAAGGTATCAAGGTTTATAAGCAAAGCAGTTTCTACAGACTACATACATAATGAGATTTAAGCGAATAATGACGAAAATGTCATCAGTGCTTCCATCACACCAAGCCTCCGCGGGTATCCTAACCCCATGCCATATCTCTATACCAGATCTCTAGGTACTTAAAAGTTGATCTGATTTGATACCTTTATGTACCCGGGAACCCCCTTACCAACGGGCCTTACCCGAGTCGTGTATCCCTGCGCCTTCAAATCTACCTACACGAGCGTAACCCTCTTTCAATTGGAGGACGAAGTATGAACACCTGTCAGAGTTGTCCTCTACGAACCTCCAGCTCTCACTGTAGAGTCGCAGAACCGAGATTGAGAAGCTCCACAATGTCAACGTTGAGCTGAGTAATCTCCCCTCCGTCAAAGATACGCTTCCGATAACACATAAGACGACCAAGACGATGATGAGGATGTTGGAAATGAGGGAAGATAACGCGGTACCAAACGCTACAACGGTAGTCAGAGAAGCCCTCATTATATTACAACTGTAACGGCTGGTGAACCGACGGTGAAACCCTGTAGCCGGCATTGGCCAACTCAGGCACCCTTTCCACCCGCTGGGACGTCAGGTAATGGAAAACTCACTCTACGGCTCGGACTACTAGCAAACACTCGGACAGTCACTCTCGACCAAGACTTTTCTGACATCTTTTCACGACCTTCGGTTTGTCCTGCGACATGAATCAAGAGAGGAGTAAGGAGGAAGCTAGGAAGGTTGAGAGACGCTCTTAGGTTTACACAGGTCTGCTGCGCCCGGCTGGCCGGACTCTTCGTCATAGGAGAGCCCCACACCCAGTGGTTTTTGAGACTTTTCCCTGCAGCTACATACCTGAAAATGACCATCGTTTCGTTGGCTGGAGAGGGGAGGTAATGACGGGATAACGGCTCCTCTAAGTGTGTACTCGAATGAAGACCTGTGGGGGTATTACTGCTGGGAAGAAGTCGTGAAAGAGGCATAGGAGGGAGTACACTACCCGAGGCATAGATAATTCGAGCCTGTAGTCAGAAAGGAGCTACATGTCCTTACACAGTTATAGACTCAACAGGAAAATAAACACCCACTCACTAACATCTGTCAAGTTAGCTCCTACTAAAAGATCTTCACCCTTGCAGACTTTCTTATCCTCCAGCACTGACCGCGTCAATTGCCCGTCCTTGCCGTCCCATTCACTGGCGAGAACTTTCAACGCGCCCTTCACGGATTGCGGTCTTGATTGCACTGACGCGCTCGTTGACTTCATGGACTAGTGCCTAGAGTCTAGCCATATGTTAGATCTGAGCATATTCATATTGAAAGGTTTCATGCGTTATTCATGTTCGAAGAATGGACGGGGCCTGCATAATTGCTACACAGTTCATCCTCAAGGCTACTTGCCAGCGGAAATACTCTACTTCGCTACAAAGAATTCGTTGCTAGTGTAACAGACGCCACTTATTATTCTAAAATATAAACTGTTTGTTGTGAGATCCATAACACTGAAGTTTTTAATCTACATTGAAGTTATCTCTCAGCCTTGGTCTTTGACTGTTGAGGGCATGCTACAGCTTTTTGCATACGGGTCAAGTAGAGCTAGACTAGTAGCATATCTCACGGATTGTCAAGAGTACAAGAGAGGTTCGCATTCCGAGGGTTCAAGAGTTTGATAGTTCAAGACAAGATTCAATAATATCTATGTTAGAGTATAGAGAAGACTTCGGAGTAAGAATTGCCTGAGAACGGAGAAGAAGTTCAGTTTGCTTAATTGACTAATAGACTACAGGTATTATGATATATACAGTGGAATTATAAGAAATAGAGGTTACCCGGAACCGACTCGACTGCAGAAATAAGTGGGACCCCGTACCAGAAAATAATTATCCACTGACTGAGAATACTGGTTCACGCAATAGAAGTACGAACAAACCAATGACTGGATTTGTTCGGGAAGAATGGGATTCAAGCAGACTCTAACGTTGAGTCTGATTGGATCAGAAGTGTGGGATCCTGCCCGAACTCAGAAATATAGTTCAGGCAAGATGCATGCAACCACATTGGTCGATAGAAAGAAAAGCAGGAAACTGCATTTCCAACAATCTAAAGAGTTCCTAAGAATACCATACCATAATCTGCCGAACCAGAGTCATCCCAATTACCCATAATTTATTCCTCTCTAATTTTCTTGATCTTTCCAGTAAACCCTCGTACAGAATAGAATGAAGTAAAATAAAAAGTATAGACGACAACAGATCGGAACAGAACGAAATAGAATAGAGTAGAGTAAGATATAATAGAACTGAATAGATAAGGATAGGAAATTGTAGAATAGCATTCATATCTTCGTACATAGTTCCTATTGTCTCAAAATAGGCCCTTGGTCCATGACACGAATGAGGGTCGACTTAGGGTAGGGAATAGCTACCATGACTTCGCATTGGTACTTGAAAATGAAACCCGAGGAAAGAGTGTTTTTCTTTAAAATTGAGTCATCTATTAAACACTTCTCTGATATGGTGTCAAAGCTAGATAGCTTTATACGTGATAGAATAGAATGGAATTTAAGTCCCTGCTGCATACCTGATTAAAATCTGATGTCCAAAAAAATAGTGGTATTTCTCCTATCCTAAACAGGTTCCTACGCAAGTATTTATTTGATGATAAGGAAAGGCCTTTTGCCCCTTCTTGTCACTCCTCTCCATCCATACTAAAAGTGACCATTTTCGGGCGTAGGGCAGCCACAGGAATTGTCAAAACTGCTGGGCGCGCCAAGCCGGTGAGCACCCAATAAAATCCACCGAGCTGCCTCTATAGCCGCCGACCAACACTTTTCTGAAGGCAGTGTTGGAATATCAGAAGAGTATTGATATAGTCTGTCTGCTGTAAATTGGCATTGCCGAAACTAATAGTGGTACTTTGTAAACTAAATAATGCCTTGTGCTCATCCAAAATAAAATTTATCTTGCCTGATTGACGGAAAACGAAGTCTTGGCGCCATCAAACGTTCATAGTTGAGACCCCCTCGACAATGTCAGATTCAGCAGGCCCGGGAGAGATCTCTTCTCTCTTCCGTTCCAAGTCTCAGCTGCCTGGCCTGGCTCGGGTTGTAGGGCGTCAGTAGAGTAGGGGTCAACCTCAGGCCAAGACTCAAGCTCTATAAACTATGGATTGGTCTCCTTCTTGACGGAAGACACAGCATCGTAATTTCTAGTCGGGAATGGCGGATGATTTTTGGGGCAGGCTCTCGTATCCAATTAGAGCAGCTCCTTGGTCAGTCGTTGAGGCGCGGCAGTGATTGGTAGGATCAAGTCGGAAGACTCGCGGGAGAATTATAAGATATATATTGATGGGAAAAGGTCGACTTTAGATGCGCTTGTATTGACCTTCAACCTCGATCTAGATGCGATTCTCCTTGGCTATCGTAGGTATGCAGAGCATTTTCAGCGACTTCACCGGCGCCGCTAGATGGTTAAGAATTGTCTTTGCCGGTTTGCTGAGAGATGAAGACGATGCGGACGATAAGAGCGTGTGGGATTCCTCATGCAATTGAAGAAGATGATGCTTAATCTCGGCTCTGCAGCAGGAGCTGGATCTTCGACCCGCAAAAGATAGATAGATCAATTCTATGGCCCTGCCGATGGTAAATCTATCACTTTAATTATGAAATTAGGTTGCATCAGTCAACTATCTACTGGAATGCATGCCTCTTAGGTACGGCTTGGCTCATTTACCTCATGGGCAAAGCTTGTCGTGGAATGGGGCTCGCACATTGCAGCGTGAATTAATACCCAACGTAATAATCGGTTTGCTAAAAGTAGATTTCCTCCAATATATATAATTTCACAGTCTTTGCTGGCACAGCCTGCGTCACAGAGTTATTCAACCAACACCCTTTTTGCTTCGCCCAGGGAAACGTTGGCGCCGAATACTATCAACACATCTCCATCGACAATACCTGGAAATCTTGTCGTTAGTTATCCGTTAAGCCTCCTTAGTAACATCGAGCGGCCTCCTGTTTGCAGTCCAAAGTCCAGTTCGGTGAGACGATTCTGTCCAAATGAAGTTTCTCAGCGCCGAATACTATGCCGCATGGGCTGGTCTTTTACTACTAGCGCCAGCTGTTTATGCGGGTCCACACTTTAAATGCGGCCATGTCATTGCTTTTACACTCATCGGACTTGAAAATAGTAAATTTAGTAATGGATTTTGGGAGGCGGAGTCCGATGATCCCAGGGGCCCCAATGGGGAAGAATACTTGTCACACCGATTCCGCGCATTACCATCAGGTGGAAGTTAGTTTACTCCTTCTTTGACAAAGCTATCGCTTAACATACTTCTCCATGTCCAGAAGATACTTGCTACTTGGCTCAATTAATCAATGAATATCCTTTTTTCCGAGTCTTTCAGAGAACTACCGAGGTTTGGGAGCCATGTAGATTCCTTAAACACTGATAACAGGCAACACATCGGCCTAGTGATTTAAGTCAAGGTACGGCGTAGTAATAGAGCCTATTGGGTCTCTCCTGCAGAAGGCGATGTAAATAAGGGTTCATTTCTAGAAAACCACCTGCTCAGAATCTTTTCACCTCTTCCAGGGCCAGCCGACCTTGTAACGCACTCCCCACGTCTCCTATTCTCTGTCAGCATAATGCATATCCTTGGTATGAAACTCAGAGCGGAGATGAAGGGATAATGTAAATAATATCCAAGGTGGATAGTTGTAAGGATTCTGGAGAAATGCCTTCTGGCAGGTTTCACGAGTTCCTTATTCAATCCCACTGGGCTTTTTCTTTTTTTTCCTTTAGTGTGTATGCAGATATCTAGCTATGACACATGACCGGTGCTATGTAAACATGTAGGATGACTCTTTTGAGGTTAGAGACACTCATTCTCTGGATGTCATTTGGAAATTCCACTATGAGGTATGTTCGCCTAGACAAACAGTCGACCCTCCTCCGTGAGAACCCACCAAAGGGAATTTCAAATCCTTTGATTATCCAAGCGTACCTTCGTCATCCACGAACACTAGCACCGCGAGAAATGTGGTTGTGATTTGCCGGATTTGGACCAGCGATCCACTGTCTCGAGTGGGATATGTGTCCAAGCTGTCGAGACTGTACTTGCAGACCCGATGAGATTTAGGTAAGGTTCGATCCATTCGGGAGTGGAAAAACGACGTGGTTGAATTTTTTGAATCATTGCCTCGTCGGCCAACTTGCTCGGTATTGCGAAATTTGACTGAACTTGGCTCTGAGAAAATATTTCACTCCCGGGTTTGTAGAGGACACCGCGTACAGGTGTTTAGTCTTGCCATCCTCTTCGTGAAGCATGTGGGATTGGTTAATTATCATGTTGATAATCTGTAACATAACACCACAATAGGATACCATGCGAATCCCATGACAATTATTGCCACAATCACTCAATCTATTGCAAGCCCCCTAAGTAGTCACAGACATTCAATGGAAGATACCAGGTGTATAGGACCATATACACCACCACCCTTCAATACCATGAACTTTATTTCATCATTTTGATAACTGTTTCCATTTTAATCAATCCTTGTCTGATTCCCTTCTATTTTCACGTTGCGCTTCTATATGGCGAGTTTAAGAGCCAAAAAGGAGGTTATCATGGCAGGAAAGATATTTACGGCGCCACTACCACTACTAACAGACAGCAGAACCGCCACAGTTACGGCTGTCGAGTCTCTCGCGACTTCTATAGGCCTCCACACGGATACTTTGAAGAGAGTAGGGCTTTATCCTAACAAGGTCTTTTGGTAAAACACGAAGTAATACAAATTGGGTGCCGTCACGAAGTCAGCTGTCCGTCACGAAGTCGGTGAATAATATCAATTAACTGGTATCTCGAAATACATAAAACGTTGTTCCTCCTTTTTCCTCTCCCTCTGCCCTTTCTTCCTCTACTCCAAGCGCCTCGCTAACGAGCTAAATCAGATCCCTGCTAAAGTCCTAACGACATCCTTAACACAGCACTTACATAGAACAATTCATAACGCCCAAGTATAATCCTTTTACCGACAAGGTCAGAGATAGACTGGTGATAGCAGGCATTGAAAAATATGCAACACCAATGGTCGAAATAGGTGAGGCACTCAATGCCTTCAAAGCCCACGCTACGGTGTTACAATTGAAGCTGAAGGCTTCACGAATGGAAGAACGGATGTTGGCCTTAGAGAAGGCAATCACGAAGAATCTCTAGGTGCCGTCGCGCAAGACGGCTGCTGCGGCAGTACAAGGAATGGGAGGTCGACCCACATACGCCTCAATCGTCGCACCGCCATCCACTGAAGCAGCAGTGCGGACAAGAGTACAATGAGCTAGTAAAAGGGAGCCGGCAGAGCTGCTCCAAAAAGTAAAAATAAACATTGAGGGGGGCATACGCAGTAAGGAATCTGCGTAGCAATGACACAGATGTGTTTGTGCAGTCGGTCTCCCGGCGAGATGAGGCCCTGGGTGTGGCGCAACCAAAGGAGCTCTGCGTCCTGAAGCGTGATTACCCTGTTGAAGTTTTGGGGATCCCCTTGGGGACAATTTACAGAGAAGGAGAAACCCCAGATAATGACACTTTTCTAAATCAAGTAATGGCGGACACAAAATCCAAGGAGCCCCATTTAAAGATGAACAGAGTGGAATGAGTCTTCGACGGAAAGGAGCACCGATGGATGGAACTAACGGCCATACTCAAGGGTCTATCGTCGCGAGTTTGCCGACAGAGGCACCTCAACGCGAAGTGATAAGAAATGGAATTGTATACAACTCATTGCTAGACATGGCCCAGCTCTGATCAACCCGGGCACAAATCCAGCAGTGCTTCAACTGCTGTCAATGAGGGCATACCCAAGCCTCGTGCAACAGTGTAAGAAGATGTAGTGAGTGAGTGGGCACTCACCAGACCAGGGAATACCCGAGGAAAACGGTACTTTGCTGCAACTGTGGCAGGGACCTAAATCGAGGCAGAAGGGGGCGTGTCTAAACCTCGCGGCATACAAAGTCAACGTTTAGCAGGCACGGTATGAACTAACGGAGAGAACGGCGGAATTTAGAAAAAGACGGTCAGGTGCTATATAATTTTAGGTAGTTCTGTTTCGGAGTCAAGGCTAATTGCGCTTCTTATAGGTAACAGAGGACTATAGATGAAAATAAATGTTCATAAGGGGAGAGGGTTTGAATCGTAAAGGCTTCTCCCTCTTCTAAATAGATTGATAGGTTCATGGCCAACTGCATTGTCTCGCAGGGCGCCGGTTGGGTTAGATGAAATTAAATTTCAAAATATTCACCATGGATACTTTTAACATTTGTTAAACTTTAGAGTTATGGGGCTATCAAGTCGGCCACGTTATTGATACACACGTTACTACCAATTCTGCCTGCATGTCCTACATAGTCATAGACTTAGACAGGACAATAAAATGAATTAATAATAACTACCAATTCTGTTCTTGATTTCAATTCGCTAGTTATTTTTTTGCATTCGGTAATTACTTGAACCAATGCGCTCCACAAACTCAATGACTGAGGGCTCATTATTTCCCCAATAATATTAAACATTTATCTCCTCTCTGAGTTAACAACCATGGATCTGCATTATCTTCACAGTACTAAACTGTAGATATTTTTCCACTGCGTTACTAGGTTGTCGATTTGTGAGAGATTGGGAGACGTGGGGAGTACGTTACAAGGTCGGCTGATCCTAGAAGAGAAGTAAAGATTCTGAGCAGGTGTTTTCTACAAATGAACCCTTATTTTCATTTCATTCTGTAGGAGTTACCCACAAGGTACTATTAGATCGCCATACCTTGACCCAAATCACTAGGCCGATGTGTTGCCAGTTACTAGTCTTCTATGAATACACATGGCTTCCAAATTTGTGTAGTTCTCTCAAAGGCTCGGAAATAGGGATATTCATCAATTACTTGAGCCAAGTAGGTAGTAGAGACTGGACACGGAGATGTATGTTTAGTGAAAGTAATTTCAAAGGAGGAGGAAACTAACATCCACCTTCTGGTACGGTGATGTATCGGTGTGACAAGTATTCTTCCCCATTGGGACCACTAGGATCATTAGGCCTCGCCATCGTAAATCCATCATCTTCTTCAATACTTATAAGTCTATTGAGTGTAAAAGCGATCACCTTGCCGCATTTAAAGTGTGGGCGTGCATAAACGGCTGGCACTAGTAGTAAAAGACCAGCCCATGCGGCATAGTATTCGGCGCTGAGAAACTTCATTTGAGGAGTTTCGTCCCACGAGACTGGACTTTGGACTCCAAACAGTAGGCCGCTCGATGTTACTGGAGATTATCAATGGATAACTAGCGACAAGATTTCCAGGTATTGTCGATGGAGATGTGTTGATAGTATTCGGCGCCAACGTTTCCCTGGGCGAAGCAAAAAGGGTGTTGGTTGAATAACTCTGTGACGCAGGCTGTGCCAACAAGGACTGTGAGATTATATATATTGGAGGAAATCTACTTTTAGCAAACCGATTATTACGTTGGGAATTAATTCACGCTGCAATGTGCGAGCCCCATTCCACGACAAGCTTTGCCTATGGGGTAAATGAGCCAAGCCGTGCCTAAGAGGTTTCCTGTTACGGGATCTAGTGTTCAACTCCTGCTGTTCACTGTGGGCGGCCCATGTATAATGCTGGTGTCAGGATTCGCTTAGTCATACCGCTGTAAAAATATCTTTCGTTTCCAGATGCTCTTATTCCGCATTGTAATTAAGTTATGAGACACTGATGATATTTTTTTTTTTTGCATCAGATTTTAATTGCGTATGCAGCTATCTATCTATGACACAATATCATAGAAATGTACAGAAAAGATGACTCAATTTACAAGAGGAGCACTCATGCCTCGGATTTCATTTGCAAGTACCACTGCGAAGTTATGGCGGCTTTTTCTTCACCCCAAGTCAACCCTCATCCGTGAGTACCCACCCAGGGGAACATCTCAAAAACCCTGAGTTATCCAGACATGCCTGACGCTGATGATAATAAGCATGAACTCAAGGTATAAAAGGCAATAAAACTGTAGAGCAGAGTTCTATCAGTTAATTACGTATAGAATGAGATTTAAGCGAGTAATGACGAAAATATCATTAGTGCTTCCATAAGGCCAAGCCTCCACGGGTATCTCAATTCCATGTCACATTTCATTACCAGATCCCTAGTTATTAACAGTTGATCTGATTGGATACCTTTATGTACCCGGGGGCCCCCTTACCAACGGGCCTTACCCGACTCGTGGATCCCTGTGCCTTCAAATCTACCTACACGACTGTCACCCTCTTTCAATTGGAGGACGAAGTATGAACACCTGTCAGTGGTGTCCTCTACGAACCTGGGAGTGAAATATTCTCCGAGATCCGAGATTCAGTCACGAAAAAGGGTGAATTTGAGAGTTTTCGTCGAGTTGGCTCATTTTTGGTCGAAAATCCGACATGCAGAGATTTCACGACTACACAACTGAACGAAATCAATTATATACACCCCAGATACGAATCGCAGACAGCCTATAACCTGTCTGATGTTCGTATTTCAACAACCGACACCTTCAAGATCTTATTTTCTATTTCTCTGGAAAATCATTACCAGCCAAACTCATCTCGCGGCCCTCTCCACAACAATCTCACCACCTACCGAAGCAATCCCATACCTCCAAAAGCCAAATCGCCAACAGAGAAGCAAGAGGATGTCCGACCCTCCGCAACTGCCAGTCGCTATGAAGGTACGGTCGAAATACCGGCCTTAAATGCGTCATCACCTCAGCCAAGAGCACCAACAACTCGACCTACGACGAATCGCCACCGACGAAATACGTACGACATTTCGCCGGTACACCGACTAGAGCGTTCGATAAAGGCTGGGGCACTGGTGCCTGGGTCTTGAGGTCTCAGTTGCGTTTTCGAACTCCACGGTTAGGGGTACGGCAGCGACGGGGCAAGGCCGGAAGGATGGACATTCTATAAAGTTTGTTGGATGACGAGATCGGCTGAATGATAGAGGGATGCTACATGAGGGAACAAATGGGAATACAAACTGAGGAGGCCTTGGTGGGTGACTGGATGAAGCCTCTAGTGAAGAAGACGACCCCTGGATGAGATGAGGAGATGCTGAGATGAGCCAAAGCTGGGATTGAATCGAAAGAAAAAGTTACAGATTGCGGAGGTGTCAAGGGCTCGGGCATGTGGTGCCCGAGTCTGAGGAGGAATTTGCGCTTCGGCGCGCCAAAAGGGGGTTTCTCTGGACGGTTGGGCTTGACATGATTGAACACATAGGTGAAGTCTGAAGTGGGACGAGGTAGATGTACTTAATGGTAGTTAAACTGATCCAGCCAGGCCCCACCCGTGCTTAAGCTCCAGTAGGAGCGCAACGGTAGTCAATTTACCTAGCACTTTAATGAGTAAAACAAAACAAACCCCCTCTTTCAATAATGTTCCTACATGCCAATCATCACATCAATAACACACTCCAACTCTCATACATTGATGAGCTGTCCATTTTGTGTGCTTCAACCTTGGTCTGGATAAATAAAAAGGAGCTAGAAGTCCAACTCAGCACCATATTTTCAAACTCCAAGTCAATCTCAATTACGTTTGAGAAGGAAAAATCGGAACTTATTCTAATGGCTGGTAAGCCGATTGGTCCCTGAAGCCTATGTTGGTTAACTTAGGCCTGATTCGAGTGGCGTTATTAATGACTACCAATGCGCTAATGTGCGACGCCACCCATTACAATACTTCTGCGTCGGCATTTGCATGGTATTCACATGGCATCGGACTCGCCACTGCACCACTGTTGATAGGCTTACACTGACTGGGAATATACGAGCCCGAGTACAATCCCTCCGATCCATAACGCGATAGTGCTGTATTACAGGCATAGTCAGAACACTAGGGGAGCCCCATAGCACAGGAAAAGGAGAGGGATTTTTATTTTTACCTTTTAATCATCAAGTGTATGCAGCCTAACTAGCTATGATACTATATACATATATATTTTCTCCACCCAAACATCATCTTTTTCCACCATTTTATGTACATTACAACAGTTGGAAAATTCTTGATAAGTAAACATTGATTAATTAGTTGGTTGATTTCTATCTTCCTCATCCCTACCCCTAGAAAGGCAGCCAGTTGTTGAAAGATATTTTAGAAGCGAAGTCTTCCCCACATTTGTGTGGAATATAATTGGAAGTGTGAATGGTGATAGATTTTGAAACTCTTTTCTCCTCTGTTTCTTGAAGGATGAACAGTGAAGTATTAAATGTTCAATTGTTTAAACACTTTTTTTGCAGTAATTGCAAATATTAGTATCGCTTTTCCCAATCTTATTCATATATGACAGGTGGATTCCTATGCCTGTTCTATCTTGAATATATGCTGACCGAGTTTTTCGAGAAAATCTGGTCATGTTGAATGGTTTGAATTTGAAGTTGGGTAAGGAGAGGGATTAGCCTCGATGGCGAGGAGGCTTTCACGTATATAAATGAATAGATTGTAAATGACAAGGTGTACTGGTTGGTATAAGAGCTAGCCGAGATAGTCAAGGTCAAACTTAGGAGTTGCGTCGATAACGCTACTCATGCAGATCAGCCGCGTGGAGAAAGTTTGTACTTAATAGTTTTAGTCCATCTCACTCTCGTGAATATAATACTATCGCTTCTCATTCTATCTGACCTCCTTCCACTGTACTAATTCCCTTGTCTTCTCCACAGTCATACAGCTATAGAAGACCTCATAATTTAATAGGTTATAACCACCGGTTTGCCACAGGTATAGATAAAATCAAAATCGACTCCAAAGCCTTGAAGGCTTCGTCTAAGATTCGAGCAAGGAATCCCTCAGCCTAAGATTCGAGAAAGGAATCAAATTGTCTACGATTCGAGCAAGGAATCGAAATCACGCCCTAGATTAAACCTCACAAGGATGGAGGATAATGAAGTCATCTGTAAAATCCCCTCGCTCTAAAGGGATAATTATGAGAACTGGTTTAGAGAGATGAGGCTCAAGCTAAAAGCTAGCTCAGTATTTTTCACTGTTGAGACAACATTGGAGGAATATGCAACTACATCAGAGATGAAAACCAAAAATATACCTTCTTCATCTAGTGTTTATGGAGGATCGATAAAAGTCGAAGTATTAAGCACGATTTCGGACGAGACAAAGGTTGAAAAGTATGAGAAAGCTGAAGCAACGTCACTTCTACTCATACTTCAGACTCTAAGTGCGGAGGATGTTGACATGATCGATGAGCACCAGACAGCCCTCAGAGTCTGGAAAGCACTAAAAGGCAAGTATTTCAGAACTAACGAGTATTCTGCAAATACAGATCTAACTAAAATTGCAACATTCCCATTCCGCAAAGAAATGGGTTTGGACAATTCTTGGGCTAAGCTCAAAGAGTTTCGCCGAATATTTATCAGTGCAGATCCTATAATGAAGAACGCCTATCCAGATGCGGCTTTATTCTTGATTCTGACAAAGACACTCCCACCAGCTTTTAAGGCGACGACAGATGGATTCAGAATCCAGGTTACGCTCTCTGTCGAGGACAAACTCAAGATTTTGAACGAAGTGGAAGAAGATCTAAGGCTTCAAAACAAAAGATCCCTCGTTGCTAGACACAAACCATCTAAGTTTGCACAGAAATTGCGACAGAATCAGGATCGAGATTCTGATTCAGATAGCCCTGGATATAGGTGTTATATATGTGAAAGACCACATACTGTCGCTCGATGTCCTAGAATGGAGACAGCTGCGAGACTTTTGAAAGAGCATGATAATAGGAAAAAGGTACAGGCATCGAAGAATAAACCATGGCCACAAGAAAAAAGACATTCCTAAAAATTCTCGATCAACCCACAAGTTCTCCAGATATCATAGTGCATACGCCGCTAACACTCTTCCGTCAAGCAACAAACAAAAACCTAAATTTGAATCATTTGCATCTGTAAGGATTCTCCTTCCCATCATATCTTTAGTTTGTAATTTTACCCTTCTCCTGATGTTGCTATGACAACAGAACAGTTCTTGGCACTGGCTATTATGTTGGCACTAGTTTAGGGCCTATGTTATGATGAGCTAGTGGGAGGAAAGCAAGTATATGTATGATGGCTTGGCCTGTAGCTATAGAGTTCTTCACGCTTAGTCTTCTGTCATAACCACCACCTTCGGATCACCTCTGGTCACCTATAGTCACCTCTAGTTACCTTTAGTACCTTTAG